GGCGAGGAACGGCCGCGTGAAAACTGAAAAACCTGAGCAAAAAAAAACGTAAACAAAAAACAAAACGAAAGTGGTTGATGAGCTCCGTAACAAAACATACATGGCAGATAAAAGTGTTGTTTTTTTTTAACCGCACTGAGACTGACTTCTTTTCATTGGTCAGCCGGTTAGCGCGGTCGATTCTAATAATAAAGACACACGCGGCGTGATTGATCCCGTGCACCTCTGGTGCACACAATTCTCTTCTGCAAGTAGTACTACTGGTCAAATAGCGTCCTCCAGCAGCTGGAAACCGTGTTTCGCTCCGCAGCAGGTATGCCCGACTTGGACGTGTTGGTCGGTTAGGGGGGGCCGATACTGAACACGCGGGATCTCGTATGCGCTTCGTCAAGCTCCCAGGTGTGGCTAAAATCCTCCTCGTGTGTCCCAAAGAAAGAAGAAGGGCCACAACGCCTTGCTTGGGCGATATTTCCCGCACGTCGAGACCATGGGCGAGCATGGTTGGGGTTCCTATGCCCACGTACGCCGGCGAGTCTGTGTCACGTGGAAGAGTTGATAGCCTGATCGATTGATTCAACCCACTTACATCATGAGCACCTACCTCGTTTTCCCCCTCCATTGTGTCGTTTGTTTGAAATGCACCAGGGTTTTCTGGAGGTAGCTTGGTGTGTGCTGCTGTAGCCTCGGATGAACTAAAAATCACGAACCACGATTCGACGGAGAGCTTTTTGATAGAATCAGCGGCAGGCAAGAAGGCGGGGAGATGTACAGCAGTATTTTCATATACGTCGTCTCCCTGTGTGTACTGTGTTTGGACTGCAACCTGTACCTACGCACCATACCGTACACGTTACATCCCAACCATGTTTTTGTCGTCGTTGATGAGTCGCGTGTCAACGGAGAGCTGCTTTCTTGAAACTAGTCTATGGACGGCGGCACTTTGCAGCAGTAGAGGACCCAGGCCCTTGTGAAGCTTAAGCTCTTACACAGCAGTATCCGCGCCCAGGCTGTACATGTTTGTCTCTTGCATCTATGTATGGCATTACTGCCCGCGTAATGCCCCACGGTCGTTCAAAGCACAGCATGATAGGTTTGTGTTCCGTGCTGTAGATCTCCAGCAGCCACCGAGTACCCCGCCCCAGACTGTGACCATCCTGTCAATGCAGCATGGAGAGTGCGGGTCTTTCGCCTCTCGCCATAACCCGCGGCAGTAAGGACACTGAAAGACTTGAGCACGTCCCTTTCGACTCCTCTGGTTATGTCTCGAACGGGTAGACAGTGTTCCTGCGATCGGTATACAACAATGTAGTCTAGCTTTTTATTTTGTACACGAACAAAGCAGAATTATTTTAGCCGACCGGCGATTGTATTGATGACACCCTTGTAAATAGCTTCGGAAGGACCTGTGCGCAGCTGGACTTGCTGCCTCCCGCCGTGCGTGTTGTCATCGGATTTGGTAAAAGTGGGGCATATTTTCCAAACAGCAGTGTACATGCATCGTACATGGTAGCAACAAAGAGTTTGTTTTCTGTGTGTGTTGGTGTGCCAACTACAGAAATGCGGCGACTACACACGCTGCAACTTCTTCGGAAGTTCGTGGATACAACACATGTCGCACAATGCATGCGGGGCTCTGCGTAAAACGAGAGGCATTCCCCTACGTGGAATATTCCAGCTGTGGCTTGCTGCGTACTGATACAACCACGCAGGTTCTTGCATGTGGCGTGGAATTGCAGCAGCAGCGGTATGTAATTAGACCATAGACTATTTGGGCAAGACATTCCATCATAAAGCAAGTACATAACTGAGCTGACCCCTCGTTGTTTTTTATCAAGGCGTACAATATCAAGTTTACTAATTCCCCAGCAACAGCCGTGGTTCTGGTCCCATCGGGATGTGGTGATCACGCGCCGGGCTCAGTCACGTGGTCGACACTGCATGCACGTATATTAGTATTAGCTCTTGGTACATAAAACGCTAAATAGCATCTTGTGTCGAATGCCCCTCGTTCATCTTCCTGTCGTGTCCGGCACTCTTGGAGGCTTCGTGCGAACTCAAACCCAAGCACTCTATTACCACAGCAGTCAGTCATCAATGAATCGGCTAGGAAATAGGTTGAAGCGACCTGCAGAGTGTTCACGTCGGGGCGATGGGCCCAGCTTTTACAACCGCTGAGATCTATTCAGTCCCACTATTTAGCGGCCTGTTCATGCTCAAGTCGAGCCTTTGTCTTCCCCTCCCCGCGCGACTTGCTCCATCCACCCTCGGCGATCATAACAACGCAGGCTTCATGGCGACCGTTTTCGGCGAGTCGGGCCCAACAAATGTGGAAGTTCTAAACCATCCCACCCGGCGTCAGTCGAATGGGGCGCCAGGGGCGCCAGGCCCGAACAGGCGCATGTCCGCGGACAGCGAGGCGGTGGCGGCAGAGGCAGGAGACCACTTCGAGATGCTGCCCACCTCTGGTACCCAGGCCCCTAGGCTCCCACAGAGGCCAACGACGGTGCAGGCACCGCTTAGCTCCGGTAGCGACAGGGTGAGAAAGAGCGAGAGACAGAGACACACAGAGGGAGAGAGTGAGAGCATGGTGTGTTACCGTCCTTTCGCTGCAATCGCCGGAGTAGTACAATAGGACAGAGAGGCGAAGGGGGAGTTACAAGTTGTGAGACACCACCGAGACCACGAGACCTCCATTGAGCCGCTGCTGTCGGTTCAGAACAAGGGGCAGGCAGGGAGTTGAGAGACACGGTGCGGCACGCAGCTGTGGGAAAAGTTTTTTCTTCGAAACCTGCGTGAGCCGAACAATGCCTCACCACGTGTCTATGTTTCACGGGTCGCTTGCTGTTCATCTTATGTTGGCCGTGGTAAACACAGAGGTCACCCTGTCTTTGTGCTTGTGCACGGTCCGGTACGTCGCCAAGAGTTTGTTGCGGTATCGTTCAGTTGCCACGTTGATGGCGGATGATGATATTGGAAGGACGAAATCGCATTCTGTCGCCGACAACAAGAGCAGCGCGAGGGCAATCCAACCTCCAGGGAATAGGTCTGATTTCATGAAGGATGCAGCGGCAGCAGGAACGTGTAGGACTGCCGCCCTCCGGCTGGCATGGCTAAAACAAACGTAGCAGGGCTTGTTCCAACCCGTTGCGCATGCCTGCGACACCCATGCCGTCTTCCCACCCCCCTCCAGGGAAGGGGCATCGAGAGGTGGTCCTCTTCATCTAGTCGAATAATGGCAAGTTCCAAGGTAACCGCATCACGGCGGTTTGCGCAGCCGCTAGCGAGCGAGGGACATGGTAGTGTTTTTCCGGTGGAGCTCCCGCTGTCCAAGAGACGAGCTTTCGAGGTGGAGATCATCAAGAGATTTGACAGGCGAGTCTTTCGGCCCTCTGGTGCGGGTTGCTGGAATACCCGTGTCCCTGGGAACGTGTACCAGTTGTTTTGAGTGTTTTCGGGAAAAGTGACTACGAAGTTTTCTTTTTTTTTGTTGGGGAATGTGGTTTGACGCACTGCCAGAAAATAATGGTCATGACTGCTGTTGTATCGACGTGCTTTTTGTCTCTGTTGGCAATCAACGCGTATGTTGCTGTGTACTTGGGGGGGGGGGTACTCATAGTCGTGCATGCCGTAGTCGTTAGACCATTGACCTCGCATCCCTACAAAGCCGGGACGGAGCACGCCGGGTTCTCACCGGACCAGGCTCTCACATCACCAAGCGCGAAGCGCCGTGAGATATTCGGCGAGTCGCATGAAGGGTGCGCTGCATCCTGCTAAGGGTGTTCGGCATCTTGTGCTTACTTCCTTGCGTACGGATGACAGCTGCGTATGAATTAATTTATTTTCTGGTGCTTTCACTTCCAGAGACAGTTGTAAGCACTGTGTAACTGCCTCGAGGGTGCTTGACCATTTTAACACAACGTGGTGCGATCATCCCCCTTGCGCGGAGCGAGGGTTCTCCACCCCGCACAACATGATCTACTCGACCACCATTATGGTTACCGCCAAAAAAAAAAACCGGAGGTAAAAAAAAAAAAAGGGTAACCTGGTTGCCGAGTTCACGAAGTGAATTGGCTTGTTTTACAACGTCGTTGCCAAGCGACGAAAACCCAATCCCGATGGCAAACACCGGGGGGGGGCAGCTTGTTTTACAACGTCGTTACCAAGCGACGAAAACCCAACCCGATGGCAAACACACGGGGGGGGAGTACTTGGGCAGAGAACAAAATCGTTATGGGTTACCCGCCGCACACCTTCCCCCTTGTTGGAAAACGCGAGAACTCTTCTCTCCGGTTCTCTCCGGTAGCGCTCTCTCTCTCTATGGCTGTTCACTTTCCCTGCATGCATGCCGTCGTCCTCATGACCTCCACAAGGTTGGTCTTGCTGTGCTATTTTTCCCAACCGACGCCATCATTTTGCCTCCCTTCTCGGTGTTTGCCTTTGGTGGTTTCACGCGTTTGTTTGGCGCTTGAAAAACAGGCTGGACGTGAACACCCACGTAGGGGAGTTTTGGTTTATCATAGACGCGATCTGGATGTCCACTTGGGTAAATTTCGTCATGGGAAAGTCAGGTCCTCCGGGCCCCATCTCAAATCACAACCTCTTCACCCACTACTCCGGCAACAGACGCGAATGTGAGCAGCGATGACCCCGAAGAAGTAGGCATGTCCCAACAGGCTACCGCGAACATTGGCGAATTAGTCTTGACTTCTGTGCGCGTGAGGGCGCTGGGCGTTCTGTGGCTCGATGAAAGGAAAAGGGTCCAATTCTGGAGTTTTGGTTCGATTGTGCAGAGTACTTATATCTCAGGAAGAGGGTTGACGTTGGCTCGTGCATCTGTGTTCCGCGAGAAGCATCGCGAGGGTGTGGCGCTGGACGTATTGTCTTTATGGCGTGCGGGGCACCTGCTCAACATGTTGGAGACACATGTAGCTTTCGTGGAGGTTGCGTTCCTCCCGTTGCCCAACCCAACCCCCACTCTTAACGGTTGGCCCTTTGCACGTCGTTGCTGTGCTTGTTCGCCTCGCATCGGGCGTTGCAGCTATGCTCGTGCACCACGCCGCTTCCTCGGCACGCGGCGTCATGGCATCCCGGCCAGACCTCAAGCTGAAAGACGGCCTGCGGAAATTGAAGGACTACCGTGCGGTTCATCGTGAGTTTTTTTTGTTTTCAGAAGCTTCTAATATTTACTGTTTGCCACACCGAAGTTGTCGATCATGATTGAAGACAGGCAATTTCTCAATCAATCTGTATCACGTAGAAAATCAAAGATTTTCTCCAGTGGTTCTAACGCGTTCCTTCCGACAAGTGGGAGGTAAACAACAAGGTCCACGCCTCCATTGCTCTAGGCAGGCGTTGGTTTTCGTGTTGCCCCAGTGGTTGTGCGATGGTGCCGCGGCACTTGCACACGTGCGTGACCGTTTGTGCTAAGTCGATAGTTGTTGCCGTCCTGGCGTTTTCCCCGTATATGCTGTCAATACGTCCCCCGTTCCGTCTCGACGCGACGCGCAATTTCTTCCACCCTTTCCCAATGATAATTTCACCATCTTTCCCCCCCTCCCGCTTTACACCGTTCTGACTGCCGAGCTTTGGCCTTTCTCCCTCCCACTGCGTTTTCGATCACTTGGCCGTACGGGTGCAGCGCTGGTTTGGTACCTTTTCCGCGAGATCTACTCGGCGGATGATGCCCCGGAATTGTGCAGGTGAGCGGCCTTGAGAAAACGGCTTGCACTCCTCGTGGTCGTGCGATCTGATACTGTACGCAGGAAGACAAACGCCCCCCCACCTTTCCTCCCTGGCACACACCGCCAAACAGGCCACAAAATGCCGGGCAGACCGCGCGTGCCTACTCGAATTGCGTGCCTTGCGTTGGTCATGTATTTTCTTGGGTTCGACTTCAGTGGGATTGTTGTACGCAACCCCCTTTTCGGGCTTTGAGGAAACCGCCGAGCCATAGGTTGTAGATGTGCTGTCTATTCTGGACTCGAGTTATTGAAGTAAGTTTTGTATATGTTTGCTTCATGAGTCTAGAGGTGCAACTTTGTCTGGATCGTTTAAAAGTGTTCGTGCTTCAATTTAAGTTGGTTTGCGAGCACAGAAATCCTTGTTCAAGACTACACACAGCAAAGGACTGAACAGGTTAGAACAACTTTTGTCGCGAAGAGGCAAAGAAAGCGCTGTTTCCTGGTGCTTTTTGTTTGAGGGAAGTAATGCTTTGCAGTCCAGTGGAAAGGCCTTGCACCATAACCCAATGCATGCGACCGCTGTAGCATGCCCTTGACCATGTTGAGTATGATTTTTTGTTCTGTGTTTCACCAAGGATTGGTATTGGATCGGCGATGGATCATCGCAGCAGGTTTGAGTGCAGGGGCACGCCTACGGTTGGCCCGGCTGGAGAAACACCACCTTCCCACAGATGGCAATAAACCTTTTGTGCAACCGTGGTACACGTGCATGCAACGAGCGATTAAATCCTTGTCTTCTTGCCTGGTTGCGGTGCGCATAGGTGGAAGGCCGAGATCTATCAGGCCGAAGTCCAAATCACGAGAAAGCTCAAGTGTTGCGAGGAAGCACACACCAAGGCGGTGTACGAGCTGCGCAGGTTCTGCGCGAAAATCAAAGAAGATATGGGGGAGTGAATATGCAATGACGGCTGGCCGAGCTTCCACCCTAAGCCATTAAAAAAAATGGAATCCGCGCTGAAACTGCGCCGTTTTAGCTCCGACCGAACGCTGCATATGGCGGTTTCGAGATCGCCAACATCGAACACAGATCGGGTCGTCAGACTTGGCTATGGTAATGCTTTTGCAAAATGTTCGGAGCGGGAATTCTGACGTCGTACTATACCCTTTCGCCCATGTTGTTCGTACTCATCCACTCGATTGTATTGCTTGTAAAATAGGGGAGTGTGGGGACCCGTTGATGATACTTGTAACAGGATAGTTTCCAGATCAAAGAATATGGTAAGATTTAGAACCTCCCGTTTTGCCTTTGTCCCAGTTTGGGGCAGGAAATCCGCTGCGTGCACAATCTTGCGTGGCCCGCCTGTGGCCAGAGGAAGAGATGATGGGAATGCTGTTTGTTGTACATGTTGTCTTGTCCCCCTAATGGCAGCCGCTTTGCAGTTTGGAAGTAACAGCAGTAATGAAACATTGTGAAGTTGACGGTGTTGGACAGAGCGTGTCTGAAGTGGTACGATGAGAGCGGGTTCGTAATCTTGGCATATCATGATGTCGATGGAGAAAGAGAATGCGTTACGGCCCTATGTACACGTACCAGGTGGTGGTTGAGGCTATACTCCGGTATGACGCCCTTGTAACAAGCCAGCGCCAGTCACTCGCTAGAGTAAGTGGGACATGATAATCTTGAGCTGTCCTTGTGTGGCGACATAAAGCCCGCGATGAATGCCTGGACTTGTAGCCAGGATCGAGATACCTGCCAGAAACCTCAAACTGCCATTGGGAGCCTCTCGTTGTTTGCCGAGCTCGTGGTGCAGGATGTATCCATTTTCATACTTGAGCTTGGCTGGAGCTTGTCGCTTGCCTTTGCCCGCCACAACTACGCTCACCACATGTCTCGTTATAGCCAGGTAAATACAGGTTTGTGGCAGCAAGGTTTTTGTCTCGACCACTGCCGTTCACACTTCCTGTGAGATCCTTCTGGCACGCCACCGCGGTAAGGCTTGCTTGCCGGGGCTACTGCTGTGCCTCTGAAGGCGGGGAATTGCCGAACCTCTTGGACGCGAAGCTATGGGGTGGTGGTCTGGGCATCGAAGAAGAACATGATGAGTGTTCCGTACACGTGTGTGCTTAGTTGGCTTTCACCATACGTAGCCTAGGGTTCACGAACCAATGCACTCAGTGAGGAGTGCCTCATGGCAGGGAGCCTTCGATTTCGAGCCCACACCGTCTTGCAAAAAAAACGCGACGCTTTGAAGGGGACTCGGCCCAGGAGTTGCAGAGTGCGAATTTTCTATCGGTCAAAGGCCAAAACAGCAGTGAACGACAGCAAAACAATCAGATTTCGGTTTCTTGCTGTGCCGCGCGGTCGCATTTCTCGTGTTTATCGTCGCTATTTCATGTTTGATTGCAGCTGTATTCCCAGCATTGATGTACTTTGTCAACAGCCGGTCAGCCACCCTTTTCTCCCGGTACCTCTTCCATCTCAATGGAACGAAAGTTACGAAAAGCTTGAATAACTACAAGTATTTAGTTCTGCAGACTAAATAAGTACCCCGCGCTTGATAACCTGATTTTTTTTTCTGACCGGCATCACCGCCCGAGACTGGGGCAGCGATCGCATCGAATCCACCCAGCGCGGCAGAGCGGCCACGTGGTGCCAAAAAGTACAGCCACCGGACTTCCTCTGTCCCGTGGCGCTTTCGTTCCCGCCCCCTGTCAATATATGGGCGAGAATACGATGGCCGACGGCCGCGGCATACGCCAGCAGTACCAGGAGCCACTCGTTCCACTTCTTCGGTGTCGCGCCGTGCGAGGCCATTTTGAAGACCTCGCCATCAGGGCCGTTCGATAGATGCGAGACTGGGAAAGGCGGGTGAGGAGTAAGTGGTGACGAACGTTCGATGTGTTTTGAAATGAAGCAATGGTGAAGGAAAGCTAGAGCAAAGCCAGAGGTGAGACCGCAAGATCCACACGGTGGCTGGACATGTGGCCTGGTGGCACAAAAGAGTGGCGAAGAGGGGTGTCAGAGAATACGACCAGGTACCATACAAGACTAGACCCAGGACATGGTTCTTCATATTCCCATGAAGAGAGAGGCCAAGCCGTCGGGATCAGGGTTAGTGTAGGGGTTTCACAAGTGGGGTAAGAAGGGAGGAAACCACTTCCGAGACTCTCCGATTTTCTTGATCGAGAGCCACGACCCAACGAGGATCAATCGACACGGGGACAACGGTTTGGATTAGTGTTAGGGTTATTGCCCACGTCAACCGAGCGCGGGTCGAAACAAGAACACCATGCACGTGCCATCCCATACATTGCAGCATGTCCGCCGCCAATCCAAATACCTTTCGTTGATGCCCGGCTGCCCGATTCTATTCGTGCCGCGTGCTTGTGCCAGGGTGGCCATGAAATGCTCATTCGACACCAGTCACCCCGACTTCAACGGGCATGGCAAACCTAGCTGCATGTTCAGCTGCGTTTGTCACGTCCGTTGACTCGCTGTCCGTAAATTTGCTCAATTCGTTGACTGATTTCCTCTCTGGGACAGGACCTTGTTGTGCCCGTGCCCTTCCGCGAAGCATCGGTTGCAGATAGATGTCGCTGTTAACCCGCAACTCCTTGCCCGATCTTCGACATGTATCAGTCGAACATTTGCTCGACCTGAAATGTGAAGTGAAAATACCAACCCACGCGCCAGTATTTCTGCAGGTGGTCCCTTTCCGTGGAGCCAGACAGATTGCGCACGTCATTTTGGTGCCTTCTAGCTTGAACGCTATAAACTCTATATAGAAACATCGAGCCCGTTCGCACAAGCACTTGCAGCTCGGGCTGATCCCTTCCGGTCACCACCGCGGCCACACAGCCGCCCGTGGTTGGCGTCCACCTCAAAGAAGTTCCTCGCGTTGGCAACACTTTCGACGTCCAAGTGTTTCCACCTAAAGTTGGTGCGCGGTTTGGGCCGGTGGCATGCGTGGCAGACGCGGTTCCCCTCCACCAACATGCGACACTCGTCTTGGCTGCACGCAGGTGGAGGTCCTCGTCTTTGGCGGGGAGCAGCAGCAGTAGCGGCGGGTACCGCTGGTACTTCAATCGGGCGATCCGACCGCCTGACATGCCTGGAGCCCCTCGTGCGAGCCCGCATCGGCCGCATACTACTACTGTGCCCGCCACCCATGGCCCCCTGGTTCTCCTCGGCTTCACGTGCTTCAGGGTGAGGAGCGTGTCTTTCGCCATCGTGGACGGTTTCCCCCATATCCGGCTCAAAAAACACTTCCTCATCCGTGGATCCATTCGAGGGCAACAACGACCGCGGTCGGGCAGTGAGCTACCCCTCGCTTGCTTTGCCACGTGAGCGGCAACACCAGATGCTGGCGTTCCCGTGTCCCACGCTACCCTTCTCTCTACAGTAGCAGTGCCGCCGTTCCATCCGCACCAGCGGATCAAGCTCATCTCGTGAGTTGGTAATGTAATCCTAGCGCTGGGAGTAACGTTGTAGTATATGACCCACGACCGCCATGCTAACGCTCCGGCGCAGGTTGCACGCTCTGGTGTTCAACCCTCACCTATGCCCTCAAGGCTGGTGCCCTGTTCGCTTGCATTCAAATGTCCTCGACAGCGAAGCAGCCTAGGACAAAGGCACATTCGCGGACATTCAAACGCTAGTGCGGCTGGGGAGTAAAACCGGCTGCTGGAGACAACTGCACCAAACAATCAATATTTTATGGACACAACAGCTGAGTGCACAACCCTCATTCAAGTTGCAAACAAACTTCTTCACTATCCCTACATCTTCAGGAGCAAGATAAAATAGCACAGTACATATTTCGCATACCGTGAATCACTCCCATTCCGCCCCCGGGGGCGCCTATGTTTTCCTCGGAAAAAAAAACTGTGCGTGCTCAATACAATAGCGGGGTGATCATCGCACAAGCACGAGAAGAACAAAACAAAGGAGGGGGGACGAGGAAGCCTCCCCCCCGGTGTTCCTCTCTTCTAAGTATTTCGGATGACCTTCTTTGTTAGTCCGTGTTCAATGTCGAACCTTGTGTTATCACTTGCTTCTTGGTGACTGCGGAGGATTTACCGTTGCTATCGTCATCTTCGCGTTATCATGCGCTGTCTCGTTGCGAAACACCATGCCGCATGCTCAACGGCCAAGTTTCAAACCAAGGAGGTTGTGTGTGTGTGCTTGTATTATTAGCATCGACCGCGCTAACCGACTGACCAATGAAAAGACGTCGGTATTAGTGCGGTTGAAAACACAAAACACTTCTATCTACCATGAACTGGGACCCCGTGAAGGGGCAGCATGGGGGAGGCTAAGCTATCCTTCGGATCAAGACAGAAACAGCAGCAACAGAAGAAAACTGCACCCGTCTACCAAGGCTACTACCTTGTACTCAAGTTCGTTTAGGAGTACGTTCACCATTATCCTCCTTGTTTTCGCTACCATCATTCTGATCCTCATTTTGACAAGAAGAATCCCTGGGCAGTTCTTCCCTAGCCCTACGTTTCTTGTTGTGGGGAAGGTCATCTGGCTCAAACCCTTTGCTCTCTTCCACTCCTCCATGTTTTCCTGCTCCATCGTCGTCTTCATCCTTCTTTCTTCCCTTTCCCTTTCCTTCGTCTTCGTCACTCCCAAAAGAATTACCCTCACCACTATCGTTGTCGCAGAGATCAAACCGATTGGCCCTGGTGGAAGTTGGTCGATCAGTAGCCCATGACGTTTGAACACATCGCGAGTTCGCATCGACAGAAAACGAGCTAGCTCGAAGGTAAACCGTCTCCGAATCCTGTTAGTATGAAA